TTTCCTGCAATTTATGCAGGTTCTTTATATGTGAATTAGCTCTTATGCGATGAGCATATTTAGACCCATAATTTGTTGTATGCAAGGACAATTTTCTCTTATGTGATCAGCATAGATGACCCCCTGCCCAAACTGGTAAGTCTGTGGGGGGAGGGGAAAGAGCCATGGCCCCACTCACCCCAGCCCAGGCTGCAGTGGCCCCGGGAGCAGCCAACACCAGCTTCCTGCACCAGGGCACAGTGCAGCCTAGGAGCAGAAGTGAGTGGGGACAGGCAGAGCATGGTACAGCTCAGTGGCTGTAGGTAGCTGGTGCTGGCTGCTCCCGGGGCCACTGCAGCCTGGGCTGGGGTGAGTGCCGCTCTGTTTCCTCTGCTTTGCTGCCTTGTGCAGCCCTGGGAGTGGCATCCCTCCCTCCTTCCCTCCCTCACCGCCATGGGAACCTATCCCTATTTGTTACATTGTAAAGTGGGTTCGCTTTATGCAAATTTGATTTATGCACCTTTCTCCGGGAACGCATGAATCGAAGGAAACCTGTATTGGGTAAGATGGTTCTGTGGTCTGACCCTGTAAATGGTAGTTTTTATGTCCTAATTCAACACAAAGAGGAACGGTCTACAAATTGGGGTGAGGAAAATTTTATTTTGTTCAGATAGTGAGATGGAAGAATTTGACTTGAGGGAAAACTAGCAAAAGTATTTACACATTCCACCCACACTTGCTCTTAAATGGTGTTTATTCATTACTATACTTATGAGCCTCACAACAAGAATAAACATGTATTTTAATGGTTTCTGTGTTGCATAAGCATGATCCAATTTAGTGGATATTTTCCACTCTAAAACAAGATGCTCTAAATCTTGCCTATAAATGTGTTTTATATAGTTGGTGTATGGATGAAAATAGGGCTTTAGGGATCCTAAGATCAACTTTTATATCTTTCCTAGGAAACTTTAAAACTGTCAGTTATTCCCTTCTAAATTAAAGAAAGATTCTAAGCTTGCACCTTGATATCAGTATCCTAAAGAGACAATAAACCTGTTGGAGCTTCTTTTTTGGCTTTATTTTTCCCGTCTTATACCTGGTTCACCTGTCTAGTGTTGTAACGGACTGTGGAAATTATATATATGTATATATGCGTATGTATATGTGTATGTTTATGTAGATGTGTATATATATGTGTGTATTTAGAAACTTTCCTGCCTTAATCTTTTTCTGAAAAGCATGTAGTAGTTCTGCAAGGTATTGTCAGCATCAGGTTCAACTACCTAGGAATTCTTTCTGGTAAAAGAAAAAGATTAAATTAGAAAAAATGAAGCTGGCTGAAGCCTTGACCTATACCCAGGAAAATTAAATTACCTCCTCAGCATGTTCTTGATGAGCAGTATTTCCTCATTTGGCTTCAGGGTTTTAAAACAAAATTTTGTAGTACGGGAAGAGGTACAGACAGAATAAACTTGGAAATCTTGTATTAATGAACAAACAATAAATATTGGCTAAGACCATTATTGGGAAGGATTGACAATAGCCCTAAGTAAGTGTCTTCCTCAGTCTGAACTTCTTGGAGGGTTTTAACTGAAACAGGTTCAGCTGTTTTTGACAAAGAGATTAGGAAAAATATTGTTTGCCTATAAAGAAAATGTTTCTGACAACAGTAGTTCTAGAGCAGGGTCTGGCACAGGTGCCAGACCATGGTACCTGAAGGCATTTTACTTGGCAGGGTGTGTCAGGGCAGATGGTGGGGAAGGGGCCTGCGCGGCCACAACAAAGATCGGGCCCCTTGCAGCTCCTCCACTATCTGGCCCTGGCATACCAACATCTTACAAGTCAGGGTTGCAGGTGTTTTTGGCATTCTGCCCAAAAACATTGCAGATTCTTGTTCTAGAGTGGAGAAAAGGAGTCAGGGAAATACTCTTTGATCATCTGCATGATGTTTGGCCTAATGTGGCCAAGTTTGGAGCCTCTTTCTCAAAAACCTGTGCTCCATAAATGTTTGGCATGTTGAATTCCAAAGTTACTGTGTGCAGTGAGCATACTGCCACTGGAGGTGGAATACGTATAGGAGCAGGCGGGTATGAACAAGAGCAGAAGGTCTCAAACACTGTGAGGAGCAAAGTGATGATATTAGAGCATACTGTCTGCCAGAACTTGACATTGAACTTGAGAGTCCAGAGATTTTCCATCCTTTACTGTCAAGCAAATGGCTGCTTGAGAGCTGTGTTTCATCTCCTTCTAGTGCTTAGCCTACACAAGGGTGGAAGCAGTAGGTTGTTATCCTGCTCCTGTTAGCTTGAAGAGTTGTCTGTGTTCTTGAACACAAATCCAGACCTTGTTGGGGTTTGACACACAATGTTATTTTTTCTCAAATTAAAACTTTTCTTCACTAAAGCAAACATGGAAAAACTTCATGTTTTGGGCATGTTGCATTTCATTTTTAAATGATTTTGCTTTGGGCGCTTGTAAGAAAATTGGAAGAAACACAGGCCTAGGTTCCCAAATTAGAGGTTTAGGTAGTGTCATTTGCACTCTTGCGCAACAGGTCCATGGTTAAGAGTACTTATCTAGGATGTGAAAGATCAAAATTCAGTTCTCACCTCTGTGTTAAGGGCATGTGGACGTGCATCTATCTCCCAAGAGTGTGCTCTGACTCTTAATTTACAGGCTCGTGTGCACATATGTATGTATGTAGTTGAGTGATATTACTTTCAAATTCTCTTGTTTTGAAGGTGTGTAGGTTGTAGCCGTGTTGATCTAAGGCAGGGGTGGGCAAAATGCGGCCTGGGGGCCGGATGCGGCCTACCAGCCCATTCTATCCGGCCCGCAGGGCCCCTAAAAAATTTAGAAAAGGAATATTTATCGGCCCTGGGCTGCCTGTCAGGTGGCCCTTGATGGCTTGCCAAAACTCAGTAAGCGTCCCTCTGCCCAAAATAATTGCCCGCCCCTGAGACACAGGCAAAGAACCTTGTCTGCCTTCTGTTTTGAAGCCATTTCACTTTGTGTAATACAAAGCCAGCCTGGAAGGTCTGTCATCTGGGAGATGAGAACCTGCAGGGGGGCACACCATGCCACTTCATTTCCTCTTTGGATTCTGGCCTGGGACTTGTGGCCAATCAGTCGGGACCACGCAATGGAATCCTGTAGAGTCCAGGTCATAGTCACCCTAACTACTGTAGGCACTGTTTAACAAACCACTGTTGATTTCTAAGCTTGTTTTTGGTTTATCAGTGAATCAGGATGGGTTTTTAACCAGTTTTCATCTTTCTTGATGTGAGAGTCAGATCTTTTGATCACCTAAATCTTTTTTTTTTTTTTTTTTAAGTTCCCCTTTTTCCTCTTTTTTTTTTTTTTTTTAAGTTCCCCATTTTCCTTTACATTTTTTGCCTATTTCCTTTTCACTTTGGGAAAATGTATCCTTTTGTAGGGTGTGTCTGTATGTCCTCCATATTGGATGTAATTGGGTCATGATGACTGGTTTTTAGGTAGCTCAACTCATGATTTACTGCTGCCTACCTGAGGCATCAACATATGTTTCCAAAAATGAAGCCCTCTGCAACAGTCTTTTTTACACATGATAGGCAAGTGCTTTATTGAGTAATCCTTGCTCTTCGGTTTGATTTGGTGATCAGTGACAGAGCCTCAGCTGTTGATTAGCCTTGCTAGGACTTGAGTGGTGAGCCAACTGATGCATGCATCTTCAGAAAGTCACCTTCAGAAAAAAAAGGTGCCATTCTGATCTCTTTCACTGCTCCCTTCTTCCCTCCCCCCACCGTTTTTTGTTGTTTTTTTTTAATGGATCCTTGTTGTAGGAGGGCCACTGGTATTTGGATAAAATATCTCATTAACCAAATAGTGGCAGTGATTCCGCAAACCTCTCACAAAAGTTAAAAATCCAATGAGAATGTGGCCCACAAGGAGGGGTCTAGGGCATGAGTTTAAAAATTGTTTCTAGAATAAGGAACTAGCTTATATTATAAACATGGTGCATCTACTGCCTTTTATAATGTGGCTTCTGTGAGCTGCCAAATTGAATTTCTTTGCCTGTTTACAAAGAATTCATCCAACTTAAATTAGGGTTATTTTCTAACTTGAGCCTGTTTTTTCATAACTTCTTTGAAATGAGGGTGTTTTCCTTCTTTTAAAAAATATTTTCAAACTTTGAATAATTATGTGCTTTGATTTAAGTGTTTCTGAACTCTTTGCTGTTTTGAAATGATAGGTGTTCTCACCCACAACCTCCACAGCTTTTTATTTTAGCTTGGCTGGGGGCTCTCCCATTTATTTTTGGAGCTCTTCCATCTGTTTTCCGCTGTGACAACTCTTTTTATCTCAAGAAGGTGGAGACATTTGTACAAAAGTTTTGGTATACAACAGCCCAGTAGGATGAACAAAACCCGAGACACTCTAACTCTCTCTCTGTCTCTTCTGAGCAATGATATGCCACCTGGACACACTATAATTACCTCTTGTGTATGTGATTTCAAATATTTGCTTTTTGTATCTTAAAATACTAAACCTGCCTGTTTTGCAAATGAAGTTTCAGTCCTCGTCTTAAACAAGCAGTTTAATGTGTTTAGAAGACTCCTTCATTTAAATAAAAAAGGAAGGTCTCAGATGATAAGCAATGCTAAGCTGAGATATTGTTTAGGGAGTTTTTGTTTTATAACTCAGATATCTAAGTACTCAACCTGCTTTTGTAAATTATTTTTCCTCTTGTATGCCACACTAAGTCTTCACTGGGAAGGACAACCTATAAATCTAATAAATTTAAATGATCAGGACAGTATAATGGTGGAAAAGGAAGAAGCTCTTAAAGAAGTTTTGGTCACTGGACAAAGATAACAAAGTGCTGAAAGTTTGCTATTTTAAAAAGCATGACAGAAAACTGTATACCTGAGTTCCAGTCTGCTCAGAAATGAGCATTACCATCATGTAAATCGGGAAATTTGCTATTGTAGAAGAGCTAATCTGTCGGGTGTGGGAAGGGAAGGGTGCCGGGGTGGGGGGGGCGGAATATGTTGTAAATGTCCTTTACTTGAAAAGAAAAGAAGTCTGTAAGTAGATGCCAATGTGTCTGGTTTGTCACCTTTACATCAAAGCTTAAAGGAGCTATTGTTTAAATTTCTTTTTAGGCTAACCTTTCATCCTCTGACAGGACTTTTGTATATTTTGGTGACACAGTAGTGTCCATTCAGTGTTCCCTTCCCATTTGGGCAGCCCCACTAGTGGTGTGGCTGCAGTGGGAACACTAGGTGGCAAGGCTTTTGTAGCTGTAGGTGTATGAGACCACCATCACTTAAACCTGTTTTGGCTAGGGTTCCATTAATCTAGAAAATATTCATGGTGACCTTTAGAATTTTTTTCCTAACATATTTAAACACTAATAAAAACTTTCTTTGTATCCTCAGCCCATCAGCCATGGGTCCCTCCCAAATATCTTTTGGTTTCCCTTTTCTAGCATTTCCAGTTGATCTCACTATTATTGGAGCTGAAGTGTCAGCAGGTGGAAAATCCTTGCCAAGCTAGCGTAATGTGGAAACAGCTAGGTACTTTGCTACTCTGGAGATTCCAAGAGGTAATGTTTTCTACCTATCCATACCGTCTTCTAGGAAATTGCCATAAATTAATGTGTTTACGTGTGTAAATCTTGGCAAAACAAACATTGTTATGTGGAAGGTTGCACTCTTCTGACTACAAATTCAAGGCAGGAATTCAGTGCTTCTGTGCGTCTGGAAGTTGTCTGAGCTATACAGATATTTGCTTTTAGGATCTTGACACAAGCAAGCCAATTGACCTAAGGTTTTCAGATGCTGTCACAATCAGCCTTCAAAGGAAGGATTAGCAATAATTCTGTAAATGACTGGATGATATGTAAGCAAGAAAGTAATGGTTTGTGTTATCAGCAGGGATCCTGGTTTTCCCTGATTAAAAAAAATAAATCACAAATTCTCTGATTAAAACCCCAAAATCTGCCATTCAAATGAAACACCACAATATATATTATCAGTTGAACACAATGTTTTATTGATATATTTACAATTTTAAAGCAATTTGGAAGCCTACCAGTGCCTCAGTCACTGTAATAAAATACATTCTAAATACCTATAAATTTTGGTATTTGATTTTGGGTTTTTTATCATGAAAAATCAGAGCTCCTCCTGTCCCCTTAGCTCACCAGGATATAGGTCCAGGCCCCTCATTCTCAAGCCACAGCCCAACTCCTTCCCTACGGAGGCATCAATTCCACCCTCCAGCCAGCCTGCAGAGAGCTCTTTGCAAAAGAGTCTGTGGGTTTCTGCGTTAAAATGAAAAATCCGTGTCTTTCTTGAGCAAAAGGGAAAAAATCTGCATTTTTTTCCATTTTTCCGTGGGAAACAGAAAACCCGCATCCTGGTTATCAGTGATTAAGCATCACTGTTTCAGTTTGAGCTTAATAAAATAACATTAAAACTGGTTCATTTAATGCATTCATTCACTTTTAGAAACAGAATTTAAGTGACAAAACCTGAAGAAAATTTATTTCCAGAGGAAAGGTTTAAAAGGTCACTCACTTTAGTTTACGGCTGTAAAGGAATGGATGCAAGACCACTGTCACTAATTTAAGATTCTCAGTACAGCAAATGTACTAAAGCAGGCGTTGGTAACCTATAGCCCATAGGCCAGATGTGGCAATATGCAAGCAGCAGCCTGTGTACCAGCCTTGTGAAGGGGCTGTGTTAAGCCAGCTGTTGCCACCGCAGCTGAGGGTTGCTCTCATGTATGCCCAGATGGCTCTGCTTACCCTTGCCACTAAATTAGCTGTTCTCTTTGGCATTGTCCACAGGTTTTGGTAAGCAGAGGTTACAATAAAGGGGTTCAGGAAACCAGCCCTTGGCACAGAGCAGGGAGAGGTAGGATACTGCAAAGATCATAGGTGTCCTGGAATGGCATCCATGATGCAGGTGCCAGCCACACCAGCACTCACACTACTATCATTATCAGTGGCATGACTCTTCCATCGATAGACAGTGATCTAACTTTTCTCAGTGCAGGCCAGACCTAGGAAGAACTTGTGATATTTTTTCAGTTGTTTCTTCAACCTCACTTCTCAAAGCAGTACAGACAATCCCATTGTTTTTTTTTTCCTGCCAACATGCTGAGCTAGTTTTGCTAATTGCTCAAAATCCACAGTATATTCAAGAGTAGTTGGATTGTATCACTGGAATCATAGTAAAGAACCTAGTAAAAGTGGAGTGGGGGTAATGTTGGAATGGTTGAGCAGCAAAGAGCCTCTAGATCTGTAGGGAAGCCTAATAAGAGAAATTTGGGCGTTGGAAAGAGAACAAGGGAAAGGACAAAGGAAAAGGGATAGGGTAAAAGATGCAGGAAGGAAAAAAAAGAAAGAAAAATGGGTTGAGAAGAAGAATGAGAAGGATAAGGAAGGAGATATGAGAGAAGAAAGCAGCAATGTGTAGGGGGCTAGAGAGAGTAAAACTAGAGTTTCATGATCAGATGCTGCCTCTACTCCAGTATACCATGAAGCATCAAATCCTGGGTAGGCCATAAGAGCCTGGTAGATAGTTGTGTAGAGCAGGGGAGTACATGGTGAATCTAGCTGTGAGCTAGCATGTGAAGAGTTGCCCCAGGGAAAGTTGGCAAGCCCAATCTGAGTTCTATTTGTCTGAAGAGAAAGGACAGATAAAAGGTTTGAGCATAACAAATTTGAAAATGAAAACCTTGCTAGATTCTACAATTATAGTGATGGCTGCAATTTTGGCTCTTTCTGAACTGTTATTAGAAAATAATTTGTATTTCACACCTTAACACATTCAAAAAATTGTTAAGACATACACGTTGCTGAGACTTTCTAAAAGTCGTTTAAGCGTGAATAAAAGTCTTTATATGCCTAGGTCTTAGGTGTCTAAAACTAGCCATTTATTTAAAAAAAACTAGTCCATTGCACATATGGAGCTTATAGTTGAAAAAAGCATGTGGTGTATGTTCCTCACTGAGCAACTTGTGTGGTAACAGCTTCTTATTGGAACTGACAAATTATTAAAATCAGCTCTGGGACCACACCCTAATTAGAATTAGGGATAGGACAAATGTATTTGTAGTGTGGCAGGTCTAAGTTTTCTAAGTAATGTTCAGAAAGAAGAGAGATTTGAAAGATGTGTTTGCTGTCCTGTCTGTAACTACTAGGCTACAAGATAGTGGGCTCAGGTTTTGATTGAAACTTGTAGAAACCTGTGTCCACCCGAGGCTCAGGAACTTGCCCTGAAGCAGAGAAGTGGGAAAGTTTGATGTGGAAAAAGTGAGTGGGGCAGAAGGAGGTGATTTTTTGGTATGCAAGAGGCACTGATAAGTAGGGGGGGACTTTTCAGGTTCACTAGAAGGCTTTATGTTTATTCTAGGAAACTTTTTCTTAATTCTCCCCTTCTTACTTTAAGCAGCTAGCACAAAACTTACTCAAAAGTTGACATAACACACTGGTAGACCTCAAACACCTGGATTAGTTGGAAAGTTATGCATGAGATAAAAGTTTAATGCAGACTGCTTTTGTTGCTTAATGGCAGGTACACAGTTGTTTATGGCCTGTGGATATAATTCAGTGTTTAAATACTTCTGTGGAGATGTATTTAGATGAATGTCTGCGTTTATCTATGGACTAACATTGGATAATTGTTTGGAGTTAATGGTGTTCAGAACAAAATGAATTCATAAAATGTTTATGATCTCTAGTGGATTTCTGGCTTATAAGTCATTTAATGCACACTAGTATAAAGGCAGGTTATAAACATATATGTTAACCTAATAAATGTTTTGTAAGTCTTTAGATTCTGACTTCATGTAGAATGGTTCACAGAAAACTCTGAAAGCTCATTCTTTCTCTTGTTTGTTTTTTCTCTTCTTTATGATTCTGCAGGCCGTGGTGATGGCAGGCTGTCCGTTCCCCCCCGTAGGGGCGAGTGGAGGAGTGGGCCCATTTTCCCCCCTTCCCTCCCCTGACCCAACGAGAGGTGGGGGGACACGGAGCTGCTGGGCCCCAACCAAAGCTGGGACGGGGGGCACGGTGGCGGTGCTTTGCCGCCACTTGCCATGGGCCCAGCCCCGAAGCGGCGGAGGCAAAGGTGGGGGGAGCAGGCCCGCTTGCCCCCTCCCCGACTGGACGAGAAGTGGGGGTGGGGCCAGATGCGGTACTCTGTCCCTGCACACCTTGACAGCAGGGAGCATGCTGCCACCACTGCCGGGCCCTAACAAAAGCCAGCTGGGGCGTGCACGGTGATGGTGCCTTGCTGCCAGTGCCGCCACGCCCTGCCAACAGCTGGGAGGGAGGAAAGGGAGTGGGGAGGGGAGGCAGGTGGACGTGGGCTGGGCAGACCCGGAGTGTGGGGGTGGGGGGGAGAGGGAACAAAGTTACTATCCAGATCACAGATGCCTATTTAAAATTCATCTGGGGGTTACTAAACCTGGATGGTTAAGAACAGAGGGAAAAAAAACTGATGCTAACTGTATTTTTGTTAGAATTAAAAATGGCTAACAAGATATTTTTTGCATTGTTTTAAGAATGACTGACTTCTTTTTTTTCTCCATGTTTAATAAAGGTGCGCGGGCTGGGAGTGACCCGAGTCCTTTTTCGTGCTGCACGCGGGCTGTGGCCAGCAGCCCGGGCACGCCGGGTTGGAGAGGGAAGGCCGTCGAGCTGGAATTAGGCACAAACGCTTAGCGGTAGTTTTAAAGATTGTTTACTTACACCGAGATGGCAGTGATGTAGGCTGGAAAACTTGCTTGAGTTGTGGTTACAGACAGACAACAAAACAAATCATTGACCACAAGATGAACATGAGCCTGCAATGCGATGCGGCGGCTAGTAAAGTGACCAAAACACTGGCTTGCATCCATAGATGCTTCTCAAGCAAATCCCGGGACGTCATTCTCCCCCTGTACTCGGCCTTAGTGAGGCCGCAGCTGGAGTACTGCTTCCAGTTTTGGGCTCCACAATTCAAAAAGGATGTGGAGAAGCTTGAGAGAGTCCAGAGAAGAGCCACGTGCATGATCAGAGGTCAGGGAAGCAGACCCTACGATGACAGGCTGAGAGCCCTGGGGCTCTTTAGCCTGAAAAAGCGCAGGCTCAGGGGTGATCTGATGGCCACCTACAAGTTTATCAGGGGTGACCACCAGCATCTGGGGGAACGTTTGTTCACCAGAGCGCCCCAAGGAATGACGAGGTCGAATGGTCACAAACTACTTCAAGATCGTTTCAGGCTGGACATAAGGAAGAATTTCTTTACTGTCCGAGCCCCCAAGGTCTGGAACAGCCTGCCACCTGAGGTGGTTCAAGAGCCTTCATTGAACACCTTCAAGATGAAACTGGATGCTTATCTTGCTGGGATCCTATGACCCCAGCTGACTTCCTGCCCTTTGGGCGGGGGGCTGGACTCGATGATCTTCCGAGGTCCCTTCCAGCCCTGATGTCTATGAAATATGCTAAATGAGTACATGCATAAATATACTGATCTGGAACTATATCAAATAAATCAGCAGACCTATGACTGTAAGCTTCTCGGGGCATGGAGGTGGGGGCGCATCACGTGTCTGAACAGTGCTTAGCACTGCAGTGCTAACTCAGGCTCTGTGTTAAGTGGACAAATAGCAATGTTTGAATTTTGGACATAATCCCATTTGTTTTCTGGGAAAAAACACAAACATCAGATTTACCTGACGTTCTTCTTGTTCGTGGAGTCCTCCAACTTGGGCGGAAACCACTCAAGCCTCTTATACGGCTAGCAAGCCAATCACTAGCCGCCACGTGTGAATAATTTAGAACTGGCCAATAATGGGACTCGAATTAGCATACAAATGGCGGGAACTCTTTGCAACGAGCATTTCTGTGCTGCAACAAAGAAATGCACCCTGCAAAGAAAGCTTCAAATTGGTGGGAAATTTTCCCTTGCACCGGGGTTCTCTTTTGCAGCAGAAAACTCCACCGTGCAAAGAAGCTGTAATTTAGCGGGGACAATTTAGCAGTGCCTAAGCACACAAAAACAAAAATCAAACCTTTTGGGTTGTGACATCCCCCCTTGCTGAAGGCATAGCTAAATTAGACCGCGCACTCGTCACTCGAGTTATTAAGAGCTCTTACTACGGGTTGCTGAACCAAACGAGTAAACACAAAATTTGCTAACATAAGAAGTTCGTTCTCTAGAGATCGAATCAAATAATAACCAACACAAATACATATACACATAATCAGATTCATAACAAAGAACTGCACGATTAGGGCTTCAGTGGGCGTCATGGCGAAGTTATGTGTCAGGCCTTCACTTCTCGGTGATGTTATTCTTCTTAGGGCTTCTTTTCGCCACGCACTTTGAGTTCCGGATCTATAAACAAAACTTTCAAAAAATAAGTTAACGTATCTCAAAGATATTTACAACATTTCCATGGAACTATGCTATCATTTCTAAAACATATAATACAAGTGTTTGCTACTTTAATTTACCCTTTCTTACACGCTCAACTAGACGGTTAGTTAAGCTCAAACTCTGCGGGCATGAGTCCCAGCCATGAGACTATAGCCTCGTTAGACTTCATTTTAGATTTCCTGTATAGCTGCTGTAACTCTGTCCAAGCACGAATACGACTGATGGCAGCATCTCGTGCATCAGTTACTGGGTTGATCGTTGCTATAGGACGAGCTGGTCTTTTAGGAGTCGATGTTGTTACAGGCTGGACTACTACTGTGGGAGTCACCGCTGCTGTTACTGTTTCAGGCAGGAGGGGCAGATGCGCGCCTCCGCTCGATTCTCCCTTTCGTTGGCAGGAGGGCGTGGTCGGCAGAGGAGGCACCGCGTCGCTGGGCAGGGTTGCCGGAGACGACGCTGCGTCGATGGGCGGAATCTCTGGCCGAACTCTCGCGGGTTCCTCCGAAGCTCCACCCTTCTTTTCCGGTTTTTTCACGCGGTTTCCCTCTTGCTCGGCGCCATCTTGTCGTGGCGTTCCAGGATCTCTTTTCTCAGCCGCTTTTTTGACCGCTTGAACGGCCATACGCAGCTGGGCTGTTAAACTTAAATTCTTCATCATTAAATTAGTAATTGTACGGAGAGTTGTACTCAATTCTCCCCCCTTGTCGTACCGTGGGGCCACCCTCTCATCCACGGCGCGCTCCTCCATCTCCAGATCTTTGCGGAGCTTGGATGGAAGCTCGCGACCCCTTAATCTAGCCGCCATGAGGGAGGGAACCGGCCGATTGGCTCCGGGTT